AATAAATATTGCTGGGTCTTGTTGAACTTGGAAGTTGCGAGGAAGCTCGCGTCCTCACAATAATTCGTTTGTGTTATTGTTTATTCTAGGAAATGTAGGAGATAAATAGCTGTTTCGTCATTTAAAAAAAAAACTCGATTAATTACATTATAATTTGATTGAGGTGAGTTAAGAAAGAAAGGCATCCCAAATGTGCAGTGCTGCTGAGAAACAGGTTTTAGTCCCACTGATGGAGATGTGCGATGCATTTAAGACGTAGGCTACCTGAATAAATGGAACTGGAATACATAAAGCGAGAGTATTTTCTTCTAAAAACAAAGTTGTGTTCATTATTTCAGTCCTTTAGATACAGTTTTAGACACTATATGGAATTTCTACTTTATTGATATATCCACAGTAGTTGTTTTTAAGGTTTAAGGCTACCTTTTAGGGACCAAATCTCACGCACTTTAGAAAAATGTAGCATTTGAAGGGGCAATCAGGCGAACCTGTTCCCCGAAAGCGTCCAGACCTCCAAACAGAAGCTCATGTACAGATGCTGCTGTCTCTGACCTTGCAAAGTGACCAGTTTTCTCGCGTCAGCTTTTACCTCAGCGTGTTTTCAAACTCGTAATGCTGCTTCATAACGGGAGCTTTACGTTTGTCGCATCGGTATTACGGCCTGTAATATATATATGTATAGAATATAAACGTACATTAGACTGTTACGCAACGCAGGACCTCGTTTAGTTGCGTTTAAAGCCGCTGGCTTTAGATTGAGCGGTTGACGCCATCTACCTGCGCAGCTGTTGCGTCGCGCTGAGTAGGCAGCGTATTACTCACTGAGAAGCCAGGGTAGCTACCATTAAGCAGTGCTAATTAGAATGTAAATTAAAACGACACTGAATCATCTATGATGTAGTTCAGGCTACATAATGATAACTAGAGGCATGTCACCACCTCTTTGTGCAGTGTTCGCTGGTTGATCTTTCTAAATTACACCTTTGGGCCATATTTAGCCTAGGATGACTTCTGATTTTATGTGTCAGATTTGTGCCGAACTACACATTCATAGTAAGATGACTGAACTAGATTTCGTACATTAAACAAATGTTGTAGTGAATGCCAAGGACATACATGCTGATCCCCTTTTTAAATTAGAATGAATGCTATATATTTTTATGAATAAAAATGTCATTACTTGTTATATATTTACATTTTATTAATCCAGTACTGCTGGATGTAAATTAGTACTATACATTTGTTATTTGTAGTTTTGAAAATAAATATTATTCCAAAGCAACCTTGCAACATTACTCTAAAAGTGGGTAGGAAGGAAACTTGGAAATAAAGGAATTATATGAATAGCAATTATTTTATTCACTTATATAGGATTTCAGTGGCTGCAAACATATTAATAATGATGGATCTCACAATATCCGAGCAGTCTTAGGTAAAATATGGAATACCAGAAAAGAAACAGTTAATGGTAGCTATTTACACAACAAGAATAATCCATTACACTAAGAATCCATCTTTTAATGATGGGAAAGCTGCCTCTATTTGCAGTAGTTTACAGCAACACAGTTCAAGGGGCATGACATCGATTATTGGAGTGGTTGATAACCACATTTTCCAGTGTAACCAGTGTTTGTTATGCAACAAACAAAGAAACAATCAGAGCGTCACATTGAGTAATATTCAGGGAGAAATGGACTCCTAAGCAGTGCGTTTCTGAAGGAATGCATCTTATCGGTGTATGTAGGCGATTACATTCCAAGAATCGCTAAAGGTCCTGTTCTTCACATGCTTGTGACCTTGCACAAACTCTCTATATCCCGCCCATCGAGATTGTCAATCATTGTCAAGATAACAGTGTAATGAACTCTCGAGGCTTATCATCAACATTGATGGTTGAGTTGCTACGCCGAGATGTCCCATTTCTGATCAGACCGTTTCTTTCAGGTGTCCCAACTTGTCCCGAATGTGTCCTTAATTTTAGAACAGTAGATATACTGAAACATAGGACAAATTTCAGCTGCTATAAACTGTTAAACAAATGTGTCTAAAATAATCAAGGACACAAATGAAGAAGGGTGAATAGATACATAAATGCACGTCAGGGTATAAAAGAGCCGAGTCTTAGGAGTCTTCTTGAATAAAATTCTTGTGTCTCATGTGACCAGCCTTTTGGCAGCAGAGCACATAGAGTTCTTATGCTGGTGACAGCCGTGGCTTCCAGAAACTAAGGTCAGGACACAGTGTTCTTACAGTACTCGCTCGCTTTCAACTCGTGCCAGCCAATTAGCTCACGGCTCTCTGAAGTTCTTTGAAGAGACAGCCAGTGTGAGATCCTGCTGTCCTCTGGTTACCCAATCGCTTTTGAGGCAGAACTCCCTATGCTTGCCGTACCCATGGCTGATGCTGGGTGCTGGCTGTTGTCATACCAGTCTGTTTGGTTTAAGTGCTGGGTGTGAAAGCCAGAGACTGGCTCAGCAGCGGAGTGACCATCTGTTCCCCTTCTCTCATCTTCTTTGGGGAAGAAAAATCTCATCAGATGTTTGGATGAGTATATGAATAACAGAAAAACTCCCGGGATAACTCGCAGCTCAACATGTTTGAACCTGATGCGTCTACTCTCAGAGGTGCTAATAGAAGGTGTTTGATTAGTGCACTTCATTACTTTTAATTGAAGTGTATTCTGATTGGTTCCTTATAAAAACACACCCTGACATTGATGGTATACCATGGTACTTTGATATATACCATGGTACTGAATGATTACCATTGCATTTCCATATTACTTTAAGATACTTCAAAGAATACCATGGTATGAATATGATATATGTCCAGAAAAATATTATTACAACATGGCTAAAATAGTACTAAAATTTATATGGTGTCCTACAAAGTCAACTTATTCCATAAAAAAATAAAAATAAAAATATATATATATAATCTGTTTGGCAGATGTATGGCACTCCCCTGCATGTGTAGTGTATGAATGTGTGTATGAATTGTTATTGACCTTTTAGATATGATACAACCATAAATAGTGTCATTAGTGTACAATTTGTGACACACTCAACATGCTGTATCTCTAATATCACATGCTGACCTGTGACTCATCTGCAGAGAGCATACCGATACCAAAATTCTTTGTTTTTGATATATTTCAAGCAGAGTTATTTTAGTATTTGATTAGATTTTTTAGTCATTTTATTTACTATTATATCATTTATTAATATTTTGAATTGAATTTTTGTATTTATATATTTATTTTAATTAAAGGCACAATATGTAAGATTTTTTTATTAAAATATCCAAAAACCACTAGAACAGTGTTATATATTTTCCTGACTTGTGTACTTACATTATCCCAAATGTTTCGAAGAATGTTTAAATCCAGAGAAATAAGCAATTTTAACTAGTGATGCGGACCGTGTCGATAGTGTTATTGTGTCGCCTGCCAATGACGTCATAACCCCTCGATTTTTTGTAGAAAACATGGAAACACCAAAGACGCTTTAATATGTTGAGCATTTTAATAGACCGGTGACGACCGCACAGAGTAGCATTATAACAGAACTTTCAAATGTATCTAGTATGATAAAACAGCGCTGCTTTTTTTCCCCACATACGCACGACCGGAAGGAGCGGAAGCGGTCGACTGTGGCATAATAAAAGCTCCGCTGCTTTCGAGCCGTATGTCACGCTCGTTCAGCGGCCTCGTTTCGCTTCGACGGCTTCCAGCCTCACTCTGCTTCATTCTACTTCGTTAATAAATCATTAGCTCATCCATGAACATGATTTCTGCGCGAGTCCTTTCGGATTGCATCGCATGTGGGGATGAAGACCACAACTCCCATGATTCCACACTCAGTCACAGCCATCAAACTAAGCCTTTGCCTCTTTGTTTATTTTTGAATACGCGCCCTCTAGCGGCGAAAAATTACATATTGTGCCTTTAAGTTAGCTGCCAAGGCAACATTTCTAAAGTTTTTAAGTTTAGGTTTTTCATCTAGCATTTACAATATTGTATTATATTATTATTGTATTTCAGCTTTAATTGAATTTAAAAGTAGTTTAACAATACGCACACTGATTTCAAAGCTGCTTAACACCCACCAGCAACTTGTTTTCAATTTCACAAATGCTTTCTCAAACACTCGGACATTAAAATCACCTGTCCGAGGGGATGTTTGAAACTTCGTTGAGTTCTTTCGAGCATCACAGACACCACTGTAAAATCACATAGTTAACACTGCAATCAGTGAATGACGCACATGAAAATGAGCGCTGCTATTCCAGGCCTTGATATCACTGATTCTGAGTGTGTCAGTTTCATTCGTGAGATTCATACTGAGAAACCTCTGACGCATTGTCCATAGTCTCTGGAGCGATCCGTGTTATGTCATGGCCAACAGGCTGAGCGCTTATATCGAGAGTATCAAACGTGTGAAATCATAATCATCAATCCAAGCTGTCTGAATTTGTTGAAATGCAAGATTTTTATATATCACTTACAGTAATAACTGACCTATCACTGATGGTTCATCCCTAGTTGAATACATTGTTTAGTTGTTTTTGTTGTGGTGTGGCAGATGGGCATCATTTGTTTGCGTCAAGTCTTCAACAGCAGGGGTCTCAATCTGCTAACATGCCATTTAATAGCCCAGAGAGAACGTTTTGGTCAGCTCACACACATTGTTCTCTAAGCATAATACTGAACACACTCTACACACACTAATACAATACAGACATGTACAGTATGCTTTAATGTAATTTTCTATAATTAGAAAAAAATGTTGTGCCATGCATGCAATTAAAATCCCTTTCTAGTAACTCCCTTCTTAAACATGCACTTTCACTTCACTGTCAGTATCGGTGACCAACAAATTATATGGCCTAAGTGAGTCATGTGCTTTAGTCATATTTGAATTTATTAAAAAACATTTTGGTATGACTCTAAATTGTCATTGGATTCAAAGGTCACTCTATTTCTTCCCTTTCTTTTACAGAACTCAAAGAATGCTCAGGGTCTGGTGGGCCTCAGGAATCTGGGAAATACTGTAAGTATTTCTAAGCAAATCATCAATAGTTTGATTTATAGTTCATACAAAAATGAAAATTCTGTCAAGGGTCACTCACCCTTATGTCGATGCAAACTTCTTTCAAAAAAGACTTGAACTCTCTTTCAAAAACACTCTTTCAAAAGGACTGCAGACTATGTATGCTGAGTAATCATCTCGTTCTCCCTTTTTTCAAATGTTTCTCTGCAGTGTTTCATGAACTCCATTCTGCAGTGTCTGAGCAACACTCATGACCTGAGGGACTACTGTCTGCGTAACACACACCGCACTGACCTCAACAACAACTGCAGGGCCAAAGCTGCGCTGATGGAGGGTAAGAGACACGTTTACCAGTTCATATAGTAGCGCGTTCATTTTATCATACATACCAGACAGCCTTTGG